CCCCTGCCTCACTCTGAAGTTTAACGGTCTATTCTACGCATCTGTCTCTGGATCTATTTTTGTTCATCAGTTTATGTTGTTCATTATATTCCACAAATGAGTGAATCCATGTGATATTTATCTTTAATTGGCTTAGTTCGCTTTGCATAATGTTCTCCATGTCCTTTCTTTTTTACTGCAGAGTAGTATTCCATTGTGTAGATGTACCACAGTTTTTTGTTTTTATTTTTTTTAAATATATTTTATATAAGTCTTTATTTTACTATGGTTGCAAATATCAAAAAATTTCTATATGTGACACGGCACCAGAGTTAAGTTAGGGTTTTTCAAAATGCTAACACGCCGAGCTCAAAAGGTTCACCATCACTGGTTACTAACCGATTGTCACATAATCCTCACGACAACTTTTTGAGATCCACGAAGAAGGAGAAGGTTGGGGAAAGACTATTTCAGATGCCAGACTTTGGTGACTGCCAGTGTGGTAAGGATTTCTTTACATGGGTCGGGATCCCGACTACACATAGCAAATGGACAACCCCGCAGACTTGGGCGTCTGAAGACCGGTCACCCTGCCTCCTCCTTACCTGGCCTTATTTCAGGATTGTCTGTGAACTGGAGAGTTAACCTCAGTTACCACCCTACCTGGGAAAGCACATTTAGGATTGTGTTAAAAGTGTGATTTTGATCAGAAGCAGCTTTGTTCAGGCACCGTCTGGAGGAGAAGGAGACTGACTGTGTTGGTGCTGGGGACAGAGATTTCCGTCCGCCTTGAGCATGTTTAGTTAAGTCTCTCTCTTGGGGCAGGTTCCCTGACATCTTTAGTCTCAGCATCCTTATCTGAAAGTTGTGGTCAATAGTAGTACCTACCTCAGTGGGTTGTTCTGAGGATAAAGGAAAGTAACTCATGTAAGGAAGGCATTGTGCACAGTGCCGTTTTAGCTGCTACTGTAACACAGTTGATGAATTCGCTGTCTAGGGTTCTTGTTCTTTGGTTTTGAATGTTGCCCTTCCTCTCTTACGTGCCCATGACGCTGTTATGGAGCCTTTCCCACTTCCTTTGACTGGAGCTCTGAACCTTCAGAAGCCAAGAACATTGGCCTGTGGTTCTGAAAATGTGGTCTCCTTAATCAGCGGTACTAGCATCTTCTTGGAACTTGTTAGTGATGTAAATTATTGAGCTTAGCCCAGACCTGTTGATTTGGAAAACGCGGAATGGGTGGATCTTTCAGTCTCTTTGTTACCAAACCATCCATGTGATTCTCATGCCAGTTTGAGAGCCGCTGTTCTAGCCCATCTCCTAGGGATCTGTTATGGTCCACCCCGCCCCCAGAATTAGGTTTGCT